AATTAATCAACAGTCCACGACCATCAATATTGTTTCACAATGACTCTACTCAACATGGTTTGTATGTTTAGGGTGGCAGATCACCTTCCCGGCGCTGATACTCAAGCCAGCACGACGCCACACAACATACTAGCCACGGTTGTAGAATTACCCCACACATGAACCTCGCTCTGACAACGCCACTATGAGAACATGTGTGTCATCCCACAGTCACTGTAGCGCCGACCAGATCACTCGATCAGCAGAAACTTGTTCACCAGGAGCACCTTCGGGTTGCTGAAGCTCCGACAAATGTGCACCACCCCCAGAATCGTGGCCACCTCCACCACAGCGAACCTCGTCTCCTTCCGGTGGGGTGTTAGCTGGATGCATGTGGTTAGGGGGCAGAGCCCAGCCTGCTCAAAGTACCGCACGTACATGTAGCCCTTCGGCTCCCCCTCATCCCCAGCCGCCTTGAAGATGCACAACACCTTGGCAAACCACTCCCCCCCCTTAGGCGACAACAGTGCCACATAAGAAAACCACTTCTCCCCCGGGCTCGCTTTCACAAACGTGCCCGTGGCCACCAAAGCCCCCCCACGCGTGCGCGGTATCGCCACGGCGGTGTGTGCCTGTGGAACACGGATGCGGGATGCGCATGATCAGTCACCTTACATCTCAATGTCGCAATCTCACCAGCAAACCCCGCAATAACTTCCATACCTGTACGCTCTCCGCCTTCACCCCTGCCGACCGCATGCATCCCACTAGATCCTTCATGTCGTCACCGTGCGACAGGTTGTACATCGCCAAGACGGCATCATCCTCCGCCCCAGGCACCATGAGCCTCCCCTTCCTTGTGAGGACCGGCTTCTTGGTCCGCACAGCCTGCACATCGGTGAATGCAACGTTCATTACCACGACGACGGATGAGGCGGCATTGTGTGTGGCCGCCAAGGGAACCAATCTCACAGACCGAAATGCACCCCTACCTCTCTGAGAGCAGTGGTGTACTGCCACCCGCCGCCTGCATCAGCCGCCACCTCGCGGCAAATCTCACGTTGCACCTCCTCCTCGACTATCCTTCGCGGGATGTCTTTCCAGTTGCCGCCTCGCACCGGCACCCTGACCGTGCCCTTGTGTGTATGCTCCCACAGCTCCGTGTTGTAGTGGTGGGGCATGCCCCTGAGAATCACATTCTTCAGCAGGTGCTTGATCATGTGCACCTTAGGGAACCGCCATCCCGACTTCTGATCGGGGTATGCTTGTGGGAGAAGGTCGACCAGCCTGCCCAATCCATCGCACCAAGAGGTACAGAGGTGTAAATCAGAAGTCCATATGTCCATCTACTGGCGCAGGATAACAGACATATGCAACGGAGGCAAGCGGTGCTCACTTGTATGCGAGGTCCCTTGCGTGTGCGAGCGACGCCCTCGTGTGACCATCCACGCCAAGAAAGGTCTTGTAGAACGTTGCGTATAATCAGAAAGCACGCACCCTCATAGCCCTCAGCTCTGCGTCCGGCCCCTTCCCAAGCGCCCCCTTGTCCGCCACCAGAATGGGCATGACTTGCATCATGGCGCGGTGCTCAAACGCCGCGTAGTTGGCTCCACTGGCCAGATAAGAGGTTCCTCCCGGCAGCCGGAGCACTGTGCTCGGAGTCTCTGTCTTTGTGGTCTTCTTTCTCCTGCACGGAAGGTATGGGTAGCACTGCAGACTGGAGGTATGAGGACATGTCACAGACCAAAGCACATTTCTGAACGTCATATCAAACCCATTGCATGCACGCACCCCTCCACCACGCGCCGCTCGGGCTTGTTGAGTGTGTCGATGTGGCACTCGATCATGTGCAGAGCAACACCAGAGTCCAGCACATGCATAGTGTCAGCCACGCTTGCCCCGTATGGGTTTCCCCACTCGGTGTCCGAGAAGTTCCACCTCCGCAGCACACCCTGCACGTGAAGACACTCGTGTAACAAAGTCAGTAACGACCGTAATACTTTGCCTGCCACATGCACATGCGTAGCTGTGCGGTATATCGTGCAAATCACCTCAATCGGGTGTGTTGACCATTCCGACTGCACTTTCTTAGCCTCCTTCACGGTCTTGCAAGCTAGAATCTGCTGCACCGCGTGCTCCTGGGAAGCAGGGGTCCTGATGGTAGATTGGAGCTTGAGGTTTGCCAGATCAGCCTCCTCCACGTAGCATGTGGTGCAGGGTCTCTTGGTACCAGTCTGCATGGTGGCAGTCGCATGACATGCTTCGATGAAGTCCGCTGGGTAAGCGTAGTAGCAAGGGACCGCCTTCACAAGTTCCCCGTTTGCGTCTGGCACGTAGAAGAAACGAATGGGACAGCTGGTTCAACATGCAGTTCCACGCAGAGTTGTAAGATCATCAGCAAGACGCCCGTCTAATCTGGGACGGCATGTTACGCATACACACAACGACTATCACTGCCCTGTAGTTAACAAACGCACTCGTCTCGGTCGTCGGTGCATCGTATATCCAAGAACGCATTATGGACTCACTTTGCCGACTCCCGCATGAGCGGTGCCAATATGATGCGTATGGCCTCTTGGAAGACCCGGGCCTTCTTTGTAGAGGTAGCCCACCTGGGAGGAAAAGGCAGCATGGCCGCCAACATGTGACCAGGCTCCGTCCATCGCAGGTGCTTAGGAATGTTGAACAGTGTTATGAGTACTGGCCACGCTTGCCGCCTGCCGTTCCTTGTTGCGTTCGTGCCATCGCTATACACAATGACACCCAACACCCATGCTTTCTCGTCTTGTATCGCTTTCTGGGCTGAAACAAGGACGGCCATGTATTGGCCTCAGCATTACTCATCGATATTGGGACGCCAAGCCCCACAACGTCAGCCCACAGCACATCTTACCTCTGCTTCCTGCATCCACTTCCCAATCTCGGGGTCGCTGAAGCGCCGTTTGCCTGTGGTAGGGTCCAGCTCCATCCTCGCTTTGGTAACGAAGCCTGGTACAGCGACGAAAGTTCGCACCAACTTCTTCACCAACTGCATGTCATTGCGTTCGACGTTACGGGTTGCGGCGTCATGTTTAGGGTGCAACGAATGTGGCCGTTATATTTTTGGAAGCTCGTCCCTAACCTTACCTGCTCCGTGTCGCGATAATGTAAAAGCAACTTCTGGACCTCTCCTTTGGGCCCGCGGACAATAATCTCCTCCACAAGCCATGAAACCAGGTCCGTGGGCGCTCTCGCGTTAGCCCATCGTCGCACATCCAGAGCATTACGCCAGCGGCGGAGAGCGCGGAGATTGAAGCGAGGGTTGCGGAAGATGTGGAGCAGGCGGTTTACTTCGCGCCGCGAAAGGTCGGCATCGCGGATGAACATGTAAATAGCAGTGAGCGTGTCAAAGACATTGCTGTCCTCACTTTGATCACTACATGTGGACTGCGTCTCATCGTCTACCATCCCTTTATCACCTGCTGTCGCTTCTGCCACCTCGTCAGCGGCCGCCACTGCATCGTTAGCTAGCGAGTTTGGGCTAGACGTCTCGCCACGGCGCCCTACGGTACGCGCGGTAATTGCCGCGTAGGCCTCTAGATAGGCATGAGCTAAGCGGGCGTCACGCTTGCCGAGGATGTTGCGTCTGCAATCTGCGCTCTTTGCAAGGTGTCACTGAAGCGCACAGTCATCCCGAAGGACACGCGGACAACCCGTGCAGCGGCTGCCCGCCATATCCGTAACACGGAGCCCTATAAAGTCCGTGCACTAATGCGTGCCGCAGTGGACACTGGGGTGGGTATCCACCCCAGTCACAGTCACTGGCTCAACCTCACCATGGTCTCGTGATCATGATGTTGCTATCAAGAGAATACGCAGAACTGTGTACCGAGTGCCACTGATGACAATACAGGAGAGCTTCATGTCGGATCAAGGTTGGCTACGTCATGTACTGCCTGGCACCATCGTGTGTGTCCCCACAGCTCCCCAGAGGTTCGCTGTGTTGTTATTGCACAAACTATAGTACTCTTCGAAACAATATGTTGTACCCTTTTGGGTGATTTTGGACAGTGGGTGATGTTCCACAATGTGTGTGGATCGACATTACAGTGCGTCGCTCTATATGGTACGCATTGAAACATGAGTGTTTAGAGTACAGTAGGTACAACATGGCGCACAGACGGTCCCAGTACACTCGTGCACCAGTTTACCGCAAACGGATTTCGCCAGAGATGACGTTTACACGTTGGATCCATAAAAAGCCCATCTCGAGATTTTTCTTGCCAGCAATACACGGCCGACGTTGACACATGTTACGTCCTGGCGAATTCCCACCCAGGTGCATGCAGATCTAGTAGCTTCGCCCATCAAGCTCGCGCCCGAAATTCCCAGGCGACATGACTTCCCATTTCGCATAGAAAGCCAAGTATCCGCTACTGTCTTATGTGTGCTCTGTGTTAGTTCTTGTCACACTCTATGACGCCGCATGTTCGTCGAGGTATGGCGCGAGACAGAGTAGGTGCAAAAAAACTACGTAGCGGTACGGACAATGGAGACGTCACAGAGGTGCCGGCCTCTGAGAGCATTCCGCACGGTTCCGCCGTCACAAGGGCGACTCAAAGTACTTCTCGCACGCAGCAAGGATCCGTGGATCGAGAATAAAAAAGCGCCGCTAAGAAGGTCGACCTGCCAAAGTACAAGACGACAGTTAAAGTGAATACGGTGGACCCTGAACCGGATGACGTCGTTGCCCGCGTCGTCAGAAAGTGTAAGGATGTCTCTTTCACATCCATGTCTTTGAACAACCGCGCCAGACAGTCGTGTGTCGTCACCTCCAGAGATCTTGTGACCATCGCGGATGGTCAGTGCCTCACCGATTCGATCATCGACTTTCACAACATGTGAGTCTGCACAGCGCTGGTGAAGCTCGTCGCAAACAAAAACGTCAACTCACCTGGGCGTCCGGACCCCCTCTGTGCAGATTGTTGAGCATCGAACATCCACGGACCCCTAATGGCAAGACCTGGGCGGTTATGGACAGCATGGCGTTTCAGTACGTCACGGGTTACAACAAGCCGTTCCAGCACGGGAAGGGGGATGATCTGCTCGCCGTCGACTATTTGGCCATACCGGTTTTCAAGGGGTGAGCTACGTGGTGTGTAGGCTGCCACGTCTATATTGCTGCGTCGCCTATGTCCATAACCCGACGTAGTGTCCTCCCTCTTCCACAACTCCATCGACAGAAACCACTACTCGCTCATCATCGTGTGCGATCCAGCGAGGTTGTGGTGCAAGGACGGCGAGGGCGATGGGGACAAGCTGCAGATGGTCCTGTTCGACAGCGAGGGCGCACATGCCGGGGATCCAACCGTCTTTGATGGCGCAAAGCTGTGAGTATGGTTGGCATTGGAAACTGACTCATGAATGCTTGTGCGCAGGCGCCTGAAAAATCCCCTTCCTATACTGGTCCGCATGCTCAGGCTGCTGGATATCACGACCAAGCAATTGCACCCGGACTGCGACCACAAGCGGCTTGTTTCCACGCTATCGAGCGCGGACTGTGTGGTGATGCAGGTATGAGCCGTGTGTTTAGGCCCTTATAAGGTTGGGATGGAATTTCCATACGCGATAGCCCATGCACTGACAAGCCTGCCCATTCTTCCATGCAGACGCACCAGCTCATCAGGCAGGACAACCAGGTTGACTGTGGCGTCTTTTTGTGCCACTACTTGCTCGGACTCGTAGAGTCAAACTTATCAACGGTGCTGAAGTATCTGTATTTGGACGGCGTGAGCGGTGGCCAGTACCGCCGGCGCATGCGTGCGGATCTGTGCGCGCATGCATTTTGTGAGCTCGTACCTGCGCTGACCACACGGGGGAAGATCGTTCCACCGCAGTATGCACCTCGGACATCGGAAATCGGCGCTGTGAGGGCGTCGGAGAGGTGGACATGAGGAGCCGTCTCGCTCAGTACCAGGTTGAGGTGTACGGACTGCGGAGGGACCATGTCATCTGGGCCGCGGCAGTGACCGCGCTCGAGAACGCCATGGGGTACAGGAGAGATCAAATGCTCGCAGCTGTTGCGTACGTGGTGAAGACGGACGGAGGGGCTTATCAGAGCATTGAGGTTGCGGCATCACCCTTTACGCATCCTCACCTGCCTTGTGAGCGCACCGGTGGACCCCTCCCCGCCGACCCCTGTGGCGCGCAATCGTGTGCGACGGGAGGTTTCGTGGCACACACGGACCTGGGCGTAATCCATCAGCTCCCCCGGCCCCTTCCTCTATGCTCGCGTGTGTCGCTGGCCCATGACAGTCCTGGTGGGCCGAAGACCCCTACCAACGGGAACGGTGAAGTCGGCCCGGGTGTATGTGCGCCGACAGAGGTCCTTCTAGACACGCCTGCTGCAAAAAGGGGGGAGAAGCGACCGCGTGTCGAGGGCGAAAGCTTGGCAGCGGAAGGTACAACAGCCGCTGGTGGTGGGGGTGGAAGTAGTGGGTCCTCACAGTACACCGGGGTGCGGCGAGAAAAGAAGAGGGGGACATGGAGCGCGAAGATATTGGTGAGGGAGCCTGGTCAGGCCAGGCGGACGCAGATGCGGTTGGGGTCATACACACAGGAGCCAGAGGCAGCTTACGCTTACGCCGCAGCTGCTCATGTGTTAAGGCCTGGCGTCGTCATTCCGCGCACGATCCAGTTGACACCAACGGAACAGAGCCTTCTGGCAGGATGCTCCAAAAAGGTCATCAAGCTCCTTGTCAAGAGTCGGATGTGGTTCCACTGGAGAGAGTGGGAGCAGGTGGTGATGGACTGCCATGGAAACATGGATAATCCTGAGGCCGAGACCCCAACCGGGTCTGCAGCGGGAGGGGGTGGGGACGAGGTGGAGGAGGAGGGGGGGCAGGACGCTGATGTCGGGATGGACGATCCTGTCAATCATAATGCTGCTGTTGGAGTATATGGTAATGGGAGGGATGCACATAATGGAGTTCCAGGGGATGATGGAGTACCAGGGGAGGACGATTTGGTAGGGACTCAATTTGGAGAGTTTGACCCGGCTAGCATTGGCCTGTGATGGATGAGGTTGGGAGTATGTGGTTAGCTGCATGAACTAGAATGTATCAAGGGTTTGGGTTCGATTGTACCAAATTGTTTCCATGACGGTATTTCCCGACACCATGCTCGCTTGTATGATTTTCTTCATGTTGTGTTGCTGTTATACTAAGCGGTTCCCTAATAGCGAGATGGAATGCACTTAACAGATACAATGTTGACACCGCACCGGTGTTCGTGATCGGCTCAGTGTATCCAACATGACCACTCGTCTTTACCACTCCGGATTCAGATAGGTGGAGTTGGCACAATCTTAGTGGCGCGTAATCTGGTTATGCTGACGGGGCCAACAAGCACACTTCGGGCTACTCTAAGCGAACACCAAGCATTGGTGTATACCTTTTGGTTTGACTGCTTTTTTGTGTATACAGAAGGTGGGAGGCGTTCACGGGAGTACGAACATGGAGACCTCGGACGCGTTGATCGAGCCCCAGCCTGCTTCCAGGTCACAGCGGGTGTCCAAACCTCCGTCGTACCTGCGTAACGCATACCAGCTGAGTAGCAAGCGACAGCGCGGGAGGAAAGCGGAGCGGGCGGTTGCAGTGCCAGCCAAGCGCGCAAGGGTTTCCCATCCGAAGGGGGTTCCTCTTAATGGTAATAGTTGTTCAGGCACGACTGCGAGCATGGCGTATGATTACGATTCGTGTATTCCCGTCTTAACGTGACCTTGTTCTTTTTGTTTGTGTGCAGCTACAGCATCCGCTGCGCCGGAGACTTCAGTGGCGGAGGCACCTCAGGCAGAGTTGGAGATAAGCATCGGTGCGGGCGATGAGGACATCGAGAGTGAGAGCGAGGCACGCCCGGCGCCGTCCTGGTCGAAGAACTTGGCCTCTGTCATGGCAGAGTCTCAGGCGACTGCCACCACCAGGCCCCGACCTCCGCCCGTGCGCGTGCTGGACAACCCCTTTGTGGCCATGCCTGTAGCTGGGTCGTTTCGTGACCCGTCAGCGCCCGCGGAGGAGACACAAATTCTGGTTAGTCCAGCGGAGTTCGAGGCCTTGAAGAAGGCGCAAGAAGCGAGCGCGCGCAACGTGGCCCGTCTTGAAGATGAGCTGCGGTCTGCTAAGGCTGTGCAGGCGCATGCACCCCCTCGCAGGCCGGACGAGCATGTCTCGGGGAGCGGTGAAGCTTCTGGTCGGAAGCGGGGGCGTCGGGAAGTACTCGTCGAAGAGGAGACATCCGACGAGGAGAGCGAGGATGAGGCACCCGCGAAGAGGGGGCATCTGAGGGTGTCCAAGTCACCGGTCCTGCAGCGGGTGCTCAATTTTGTGCCTGCAAACAAGGCGTGGAAGGTGGGTTGTGACGAACATCGGTGCCTCCACCATGTGTCTACTGGCTTTGGACCCCTTCCTACGTGATTTTAGGGATATTGACGGCGGATGTGTGTGATTGGTGGTTTTGAACTGGTGGCAGCGCTCGTGCGACATGGTGAAAAATTACCTCTTCTTCGATAAGGAGAACGACCGGATTACGTTCTATCCGAGCAGCGACGACAAGACGGTGGGAGTGTGTGCAGTGATCGAGCGCCTGCCTTTCGACTTTGCGACACTGGCTCTGGCCGCGGACAAGGCAAGACGGCAGGATTTGAACAAGGCCCTTAGTGAGTGGAAGTCGGGCGCAGCAGGAAGGACGCGGGACATCTTGTGTCCACGGATGGGGCTTTTCCGCGACGAGCGAGATACGCGCAGCCCATGGGCCACGAAGAAGGACCGTACTCTGGAGAAGATCTGATCGCATTATGGGCTGCTGTTGGGCGTTGACGGTAAGGTGGAGGTCCGTGGATGGAGAGGGAATGTATGCTGGATGTGTCGATCGTGGACTTACGTGAGCATGTATTTGTGTGCAGATCCCCTGGCATTGTCCAAGTTTGGGAACGATCGGGAGGGGATGCCGTTCGCCTTTGCCGCATTCGTGGCATGCGCGGTAGCGGCATTCAAGCCAAAGAAGGTGGCCGGGCCACTGACGGTGAAGCTTTACCACCTGGCGTGGCTAGAGCATGTGGTACGTGCTTTGTGTTTGTGTGCTCTGTGGTCACCCGTCCTCCCGGCGGCTAAGGGGATGTTTGCGTGTCGCAGGTGATCGACACGCTGGTGAACTGGGAGGCGAGGAAGGCGCGACTGTCGAACTCCGCTTGTGGAAACGCGCAGGTGGTCGATGGGCTCGTGATCCTTGCGCGTGAAGCAGTGTCGAACGCGATCAGAATCTTCAAGCCTAAGTACGACGTGACCTCGAGCTCGTGGACCTGGGGGCGCCATGGCCTTCGGCTGTCCTCATGCGGGCTAGAGGACTTAATTCCAGGCCATGCCGCACCCCGTGATGGGGCGGAGGTTCAGGCGGAAGAGATCTTTGGGTCTCTTAGAGGGCCATAAATGGAATCTGCTGAAAGCATGTTTGCTCAGCTAGGGTTTGTCGTCGATTTGTTGCCGTAGTTAGGCTGTATATGTTTGTTGTGCTTCGCTTGTGTGTGACACTCTTAAACACGTAGATGTAGTCACACCACGATTTAAGCGGACGCCGTATCTGCTATCTTAATCACAGGAGTGCGGTGAGTGATGGGCGAGGATACGTGCCTACGTTTTTATGAGATCCGCACATTACTGGGGGCGCGCGTCAGGCATCGACGTACGTAGACCATTCATGGCACGCACACAGAATTTGCGATATAGTGGGATGTGGTGGACGCTGTTGGCACATCTGACGTGGCGTAGGTATGATGTGGTTTACCGCATCTCACGCGTCGATGGCCAGGGCAACGCAACAATAGGGGGAAGTAGCAGAGCATGTGACCATGTGTCCAAATCCACGCCGTGCAAATGGTGGGGGGCCTATGGAGACACGTGCCGCGTATGCATCGGGCGGGTGCTTGATGTATTCTACCGTCAGGGATTGGTGCACGACCTGGTAACACCGTGATAGGTGGTGAGTATGCGTTGGGACGGCAGATTTAACGAAGGTTTGCCAGAGGACGGGCGAGCCGGGCCCGGGTGACGTTTTAGTGGGTGACGAAGTGTGTAGTTACATCGTGCTCGGCCACTCACGGTCCCACAGGTGTACGGGCGAGATGCGGGGGGATATCGGTGTGGATTTGCGCCGCGTGGCATGGTGGGCGCAAACCGGACGCAGATAGATGTCGCGAGAGTGTTGGGTGGGTATGCGAGCACTACGCACATGTGTGGGATAACAAGAGGTTGTATGGTGCGTATGTGGCGGCGCGGAAGTGGGTGGGGAGGTTGGTCCTGTGCATGCAGATTGGTGGGCGAAATGCACGCGCTAGTTGGTAAGTGGGCGACGAGAGTGGGTGTATTCACGCGTTACACCAACGGGATTCTCACATGTGTACGGTGGAGATCGATGCGTGAAGCCGCATCGATGCAGGCCGCGTGGCAAGGGGGGTACGTACGGTATGCGGCACAAGTACCTTGGTGTACGGTGTCATGTGACACGTGTGAAGGGCAACTCTATCGCAGCTTTCTGGCAAGATCGCGGTTGCGGGGAGGTGCCTGAAATGTGACGCAAATGTGGTGAAGGAGTCATTTTTTCGCAACGTGTACACTTGCGGGAATTCCGATGGTTTTGACCTTGACTGGAAAACATCGGGCCGGGGTATCCAGAAAGTCACTTTTCCGCAGTTTTCCGGGTACATTTCTGCAATACCTTTTCCGCGATGAAACAGCTGCTTCTATCTATCTCTTGCGTCTATTGTCAGTCGCAAATGCAACACGACGATAGGAGCGCAGATCACATCATGTGGCGGGAAACGATCTCTGGCCCCGGAGGACCAGACAAGCATGGTAACGCTCGGTCGAGATGGAGCAGTCCTGGATCACTCGGCGATGGGAGACGATGCTGACGACACGGCCGAGCAGGTGCAAGGGTTTTTGAAGCTGATGGAGATCTGCAAGGCACAGGGCATCCTGCCTCCAGAGTTGCTGCGTAAGAAACAGAAGAAGGGGAACATGGCAGAAATCAGTAACAACCGTACAACAGCTATTACACCAGACCCTCTGACGGTATCTCCAGCACCTTTATAGACATGATGGCGACGTGTTACCAACGCCGCTTAAACTGACTGGGCCGCTAGAAGATGCAGCTGAAGGCAGCCCAGTCGCTGAGGAGCGTGTCAATGCTCAAGGCCTCCCGATTGTTTCAGGTAGGAAGTAAGACTAATGTAGCGCATCTTCTTTTCGAATCAGAGTTTGTAGATCGAAGTCGTCTTTTCTTGTCGCATCGGTTGTGACAACGCCTCTTGTGATGCATTTTTATTTCATCATTGTTAATCAACCCGTACTATCTCAATTACAAACAGAGCTACCGTCGGCGCGTACCCAAGCAGAGGTTCGACTCCGTGGTGAGATAGAAGACCTGCCAATGACGCTAAAGCTTACTCAAGAGCGAGCGCTCGACCTCCAAATCGCGCTGGACGAAAAGGAGGCTGCATTCGTCGCGCTAAATTTGCGCTATGACGAGCAGACCGCGCTGGTTGAAGCACTCCGGCAGCAGATTGCAAGCAACTCCGCGCAGCAGGCGGCAGCGGCTAACAGCGCCATGATCACGTCGTTCGACCTTATGCAGCTCCCACGCGACCAGAAATACGTCATCATTGTGCCTCCGACGCTTGAGCAAGACCATTTGTTTGCGATAGGTTGTAATGTTGCAATATACAGAAGCTAATGTTGCTTTTAAGTCAAGATGTGTTTGGGCATATCTAATCCATGATTTTGTATTACATGATGCAGAAAAAGGCACTCGAGGCCTTCACGTAAATGACGTCCACGGCGCCCGCTTGGCGTATGAAATTCTACCCCCTGTGGTGGGAGCTGAGGGAGATGATGTGTCAGAATGTTATTATCTAGCCTGTAGTGGGGTGCTCTATAGCGAGTCACTCCTGCCGCTCCTGCCGCTTGTCTATAGCCGCGGAGCCAGTCACTCCAGTAGTCCGTCGCCCTTGCCTTGGTAGCCACTGGGTCAGCCGCTGCTGTGCCCGTGCCTGTGCAGCTTCAGTTGTTGCCTCCCATCTTCCCTCCGTTCACAGTACTCCCCTCCTCCTCACTTGCCCTCTGTGATAGTCTCTAGCTTTGCTTGCCATTGTGAACCTGCTCTATGACTGTGTGCTCTGCTGATTACACCCTACTTTGGCTATGGGGGTGTGTCAGAATGCTATTATCTAGCTTGTAGTGGGGTGCTCTATAGCGGGTACAACCCTGTTAGGGTTTGTTATATGTATCCCAACTGCTGCTAGTGAAACCCGTCCTTTGTTCAGTTCTCTCTTGCATAGCTAGCTAACCCTAGCTATGGCTCCTCACCCTGCTTACTATCGTAATATGATGGCGGAGAAATACCCTGAAAGCGGTGTGGATTGGGACTTGTTCTACTACGTTATCTGCACCACCCCGGCCAAGGAAAACCTTGCCATGCGCAAGGTCTCAGAGAAATGAAGCAACTACGCTGCTGACATCAAGACATCGCCCAGGCGGGTGCGTGCCAGAGAGCAAGTGGAAGGAGCTGGCGGACGAAGGAGTGGCACCGCAGTGCAGTCGGTCACCTGTGGAGTGGACCCTCTTCTTTCAGCATGGTGAGTGTTTATTGGTTTTCACTGTCATTGTGATTGCCGGGTCATTCTGTCTTATACCCTGCTGCCTTGCTGTGTCAAAGTGCTCGTTGGTTCATTCTGTCAATGCTTTTCTGAAGTTCTCAACGGCCTCATGTCCCGATAAGTAAACATCTATGTACACCCTTTGTTGTCTCCAAACCAGCACGCTATGGATCAAGGTGGCATTTCAATGCTGCAACGTCTCATCCGTTTGCCAACCGTGCATTCGAACTTGTCATGCTGCGCAGTTTTGGGAGCAAGAAGGCCACGTCCATTCTGGTGAAGATCCCTACAGTGGGATTCGCCTGTAATGTGGTGAGTAATTATCTTTCCAGCGCCTCTGTTCTCAATGTATAATATTGAACCTTATACTGATTTCACTTTTTGTTTGGTGCAGGTGGAATGGCCTCTGGAAAACGCCAGAGGGCGAATGAACCCTTCTCTTGACTCCTCGGAGTTGGTGAATCAACAGAATGTCGAGGAGAAGATCGCTCATGTGGTCAACTGGATCAAGGAGACTTACGAGAGCGGGGACCACGCTGTGTGGGGAACTGTTGCCCCGGCAGGGTTCAGGATGTCCCCGAACGTGAAGATCCTCATTGAGGGCTATAAAACTCATGTGTTCCCTGGTGGACTGCCCTAGATTTCCATGTGCTAGGGCACGTTTTGCTGCGACAATATGGGGTGCTGTAAGGCTGACAATAATGCTGGCTCATAATGCGAATGGATGGTTTTGCAGCATTATCGAGCTCCAAAACAAAATAAACAAGCAAAATGCAATTCAAATCGGTATACATATAAATCCAAAATAAAATGGCAACCAGAACTAATCAACATTGCACCAACATTATATGGACAATGACAAGAATATAATGTATAGTGTACTGGTTGAATCCGTAATATGTTCATCTGACATATACATTACAGAATCAAATAAACATATTTCCATTTAAGAAACCCGGTACAATAACATAAAAAAGTAACAGTAACCATTCGTTACTTCATTTGTATTTCCCGCAAATGTTTCGGCAAGCAAAGTAACGCTTCGGCAGCGACCAAATAAATCGTTCGTCCATAGATAGATTTACCCCAAAGAGTGCCGTAGACCAATATGAACGACGGTCCCCAATTACATCTATACACCCTCTTTCGTGCTACACTGTCATTGGCTGTATGGGCCCTGTGGCTCAGCGTGCCAGAGGACGCGTTATAGTGGACTTTTGCACCATTACGGTTTAAAGTGGTTAGTTACTTTCGAAGACGGTCGTTTGAACGTTTGATATGGTTCGGTAGGGTACCCAGGATAACGAAATCGCGAATCACTCACCCCCTAGAGTCGGTTATTGTAACAATTCCGAAAACGTCCAAAGAACAGTTTCACTGTAGCCAGTCGAGAAAACTGAAACGAGAATGAAATGACTAAGTGAAAGTTGGGTACAAATACAACCCTAGAAAGCTGTACCCCATATGTGCTACCCCACTATAGCCTACAACAGCTATGTCATACAAATCTGACACACCCCCATAGGCAAAGTGGGGGAGAACAAGGGGTCACAAGACCAGTCAAGCAAAGCAAAGCAAAGCTCAGGGTGGATCACAAAGTCACCACACATTCCGAGCACAAGTTCAAGGCCAGACGGCCAGTTCACATGCAGGAGCACACATATATATAGAAAAGGCTAAACAAGCAAGAGCAGGAGTATATATATGTGACAGTACAAGCAAGGTCAAGAAGTGAGCAAGTGAGGCAAGACAGGCACAAGACCAGGCTGAGTACAG